CACACCTTGACTAATATTGGCCTACTGTGCAATCTCAGTTATTATATAGAAATAGGATATATAGAAATAGGTTTGAGGCTTTTTATCAGATCCCAAAGCTTTGTCGAGGGCTTCTGTATCATCATTCAGGCCTTCGCTTTTCCTGTTCCTGAAGTAGGAATCTCAGCCTGCTATAGAAGAAAGTGCAAATTTTGTTCTAGGGCTTAAAGCCCCCTTCAATAACAAAACAACATAATAGAAGGAGCTGTATATAGACTCGTGTCCCACACAAGTACAAAAGGGCCTGTTTACAAAATATATACATTATGAACATAACTGCAATAAAATTAAAATGGTCAATTAAGTGAATAGTACAAATAATTTAGTAATAATTTACTGATTAAGGCAACTGGAGCTAAGTTCTAATGGCAGGAGGTAATCAAACAGACACGACTTAAAGGTGGAAAGGGAAGGGGCTTGGCAGATAGGAAGAAGAAGGGAATTACAGAGTTTGGACGAACAGATGAGGAAGGAATGACAGAAAATGGTAGCTCTGTGTTTAGGGGGATAGGTCAGAAGGGCGGGAACGAGTATGATGGTATTGCACCAAAGCCCCTAAAAGTTAGGAGATAATACGTAGAAAGGAAAGGAATGGAAAAATACCGTTTGGTAAAGGAAGGAGACAAGGAAGTATAGCCTGCGGTAGGAACTACTTCAAGCTGGAGTACATATCAGTCACATTGGACTTCCTTGGGGAGCCATAGGTAAAATGTACAAAATAATTTATTGAGCGCTTAAGTCTTTCACCCAGCTCCTCCAGTGAGTCCCCGTACAATATCTTTGATCAAAGTGGGGGAGAATATGAGAGGAGACAAGTTTACTAGTGGGGACAAGGTGGCTGGAAAACGGAATTGATGGAGGGTGGAAAATAATCGGCAGGAGATGAGGGATCTTTCCATGACAAGGTCTAATCAAGGACAGTCCTAAAGTTCTTGACAGCGGGACAGAAAGAAATAGGGCGATTGTTGATGGTTAACGGAGGGATACAATTTAAGGAATGAAGGAGAGAAAGGGACCCACAATAGCTTGGGATTTTCTACATTAAGGTTCAGCCCATTTTCAGTGGCCCAGGAGCTAATTGAATTTAACTCCTGAATTATTACAATTACAGCTTGTAAGTCAGTAAGAGGAAAGGAAGAAGGATTTTGGGAATTTCCATTAAGATGATGGGAGCAAGATTTTATGGATTTATACCAGTTGTTAATGTAGCGACCAAAAAGAGAAGCACATAAGCTGTTCTGCTGATCCGAGTCGATATGCCTCTGGAGTCTGCAGTGTCCAAACAGCATTTTTTCTATCACTCTACTCCTAACATGTCCTAGGTATAGTTTTGGCCCTTTAATAAATTTATGGGGTGTTGGTGGCCTTAATAATTAAGATGTTGACACAGTGACTCATCACTGTAAGGTAAAGGTCCCAGCATACTTACAAATGAGCTTTTTTCCACCACCCACTCCAGGGTTCATATAACCTCATACATTGTATAAAAAAACTTGTTGCATACATACAATACCATAGAACTAAGGTATTATTCTTAATGTTGTCTGATAGATCTATGTTTTTGGCAATTTTTTCATCGTTCAAAAGGGTTCACTGAAGGTATCCAAACTTTCTTTGGCTAATTGTCAGGCTCCTAGTTGAACCACTGCCCTGTGTATTGTAGTTGTCACTAATGCCTGACAGGGCTATGATTAACAAATGGTTATCACTACATTTCTCTGAGTAATGAGTAATAAGATAAATAAGTAATATACAAAGAAACATTATTAATATAAATGAAATGGCATTGTCATACGTCAAAGAAAACTATTGATTCAGCATTTTGAAATTTACTTGTGAAACTACAATATTTTTCTATAACTCAGCAGGTATATGACCTATTTGTTCACAACATGATTATAATTAAGTATAAAATTCTTCAAATTATGATATACATAAAATAGAATATAATATATTTAGTTTTGTAGACATAACATACTTATACTACAAAACATACAAATTATTTATTATATTAAATACAGAATAATAAAAATGTACCAGGGCTGAAATGAGGGCAAGCTGCCGGATGCCCCATTAAAAAATGTACCTGATGATTTTTTTCAAACTCATTTTAATCTATGATCGGAATGTATTTTATAATATTTGAACATTCCATAAAAAAGTTTACACATACAGTCAGTTTATAAAATTATATGTCCTGGTTTTAAGTTAAGGGGGCAATGAATAAACAGAATTGGCCATACCATAATCAGTGCGACCAATCTGCTAAAAATTGTTTTCAGGCTACTTCAGAATCGCTAGTTAATCTGTGTAAAATGGTTCATGTATAAAACAAATCCCCCCCCCAAAAAAAAATTAATATTTTATTCGGAAAGATGAAGATTCGTCGAATTATAAACTAGTATGTAAATTCGCAGAAAGTAATTTAGTTTTATTTTGACCTGACATAATTGTCATGATGGTGAAAATGCCTGCAATTTATTCTCTCAAACCTATAATTTTGTGATGACCTCGTCTGAAAGCAATTACATCATGGCAGAAAAAGCTCCTTCTCGTTTCTTGAAATATTCATTCAGATTAGAAGTGAATATAAATTTTTATTTTGCACAAAATCAATTTCTTTATATGAAAAGTATTAACGAGCATAAAATTTACAGTTTACCATTAAAAATATATTTATATTAAAAAAAATAATACAGCCAAATGTATAACTATATAATCAATAATAGATTTATAATCATAAGATTTCCATCCTGTATTAACAATGTTTTTATTTCTAAAAATAAATTATTAATAAACATTCATTCTGCCTGATACGCGTATTTCCTTATGCATGAATTTACAAATTTGTATTCAGTTTTGTTTGCACTAGTTGCTGTGTCTTTTTAAGGTAAATTATTAAAATATCACACTAAATCCGTAGTGCTGAAAGCTTAGAGAGAAAATGTGTCCCTCGTTTTACTATTAAAACATCATTACAGTAGACTTGTTATCTGTGGGGGGATACGTACCAAACATAACCATGAATAAACAAATGAGAAAAAATTATTTGAGTTTAAAAAAGATAAATTAAACTTCACAGTTAGAAGTAGATGGTGATGAATCAGTGAAATTTGCTCTTCCAGCTTTCTCAAAGAAGGTTGTTATAAGAGGCTGCTTTGACTGGTTTTTCAACTGCTGGAAATTTTATCGGAGAGGGTCCATTGATTGAGTTAGCAGTGATGATATCATGCTTCTTTCCTTTATTGGAAGATCATATTCTATGATTTTGTTTTTCATCTTTTGAGCTAAACGAAAGATTTATCCAGCTGTTTCTATTGCTCATTCCCGTTTTTCTTCTATTTTATCCTCTTCTGTGGTCAATTTGATGAGTTTTGCCAATTATTCATTAGTGAATTTTCAACCACAGATGGGTGAAAGCGCAGATAACAAGAGTGTACTGTACCTTTTTATTTTCATTATTATGCCTTTTTTAATTTTTAATTTGTGATTACCTATTAAATTTTGAATTGTATCAGAGGTCATACAACCTTTTTTACTGGATTTAACTTTTTTAACCACTGGATTTAACCTGATACATTTTATCTTATAGTGATGAGCGCCTATTCAATGATTTAACTGTTGCGGCCAGGGAGCCTGCAATGTACAGTTAACAGTTCCATTATTCTAGTCCTAACTTGTCCTTAGATTGTTAGATTGTTCTATGGTCGTTTGATAACTTGAAAATTTTCTCATTTCCAGTTCTGTTTTCTTTATTTTTATGTGTGCTCTCTATTTTGCTTTACAATCTAGCATCGGGGTACTATTTTTATATTGATTGTACTGTCTGTGATTTTTCTGTTTGTATAATTAATATTTACAGACTTATGCTCTTTAATATAATAATTTTCCAATATTTTGTCCATCAGTTCGGTTGTTCATATTTTTCAGTTTTCTTGTCGATGCTTCAATACCATTTTCCACTGACATAGCCAGTGACACACTAGCCTTCGTTTCTAAAAGTTTAGAGTATTTGTACTCTTGCCTAGAAGTAGGAGGAGAGATGTTGTATGTACTTAGTTGGGAGGATTTTTTTTAGTTTACATACCTTCAAGCCAGACTTTATCAAAGGATTAAGATATGTTTCTCTTCTAATGCTCTTTCTATTATATCAGTAATTCTGTGAACTTGATCTATTGTTGAGTGTTTTATTCTAAACCCAAATAATGTATGATGTGTTGTGTATTGCATTGTGGTATCCCACATCATAATTGATTGTCTTTATATACCTCTGCCAGAACCCTCCACCAAATCCCCAAAGACCTCTCAAAGATCCATATTAAGCAATAATTCAACATCAATAAAACAAAATTTAACTTCTTAACAGACATTCAACTATTAGATAAAATGTAAATTTCATATTCACTCAATTCTTGTTTCCTCTGATGGTGCCCTATGTTGGCGGTGTGGCCTCGGGTGTTGGTCGCCCTTGGGCTGGATTCAGGAGTACCTTCCCAGACTCTGAGGTCAAAGAATCTCCAGTGAGCTTAGGAGGGAGTGTCAAAGGTGACAAGTCACTGGCCCCTCTTCGATAAAGCTCTGCACACAATGTAAGATTAAAAGTATTAGTCCCATGAGATTCCGTTCTTTCCCTGCCTTTGGATGCCACTGCGCCGTGGTTTGTTGGGACTTTGCTCTGATGGAGCTGAGCTGATGCCTATTCTCAGTGTGATGTATTTATTACTAAACGTTCTTACTGCACAGTATTATGATGTAAATCCTCTTATTCTTCTGAGCTAAAAGATTACATTTAATTTATTAGCAGGTTGGCCATCTACAATACTGATCTGTTCTCTCCCCTGCTGTATCCATCAGCCGTGTGCTGTGACATTGATAGACAATTTTATTTTTTATGAGCTATAACAAAAAAAAAATACAAATAACTCTTTAGAATGTTGTTAATCTTGTTTAAATTGTTTCAGGCCGAGTGAGAAGAGAAAAGAGAAATCACGAGATGCTGCCAGGTGCAGAAGAAGTCGAGAAAGTGAGATATTCACGGATTTGGCTGCGGCGCTTCCCCTGCCTACAAGTGTCGTTTCACACCTTGATAAAGCATCTATTATGAGATTAATCATCACTCACTTAAGGATCATGAAAATTTTTAAAAAAAGTAGTCACCTGCCTAACAAAATTTTTTCTGTTAATTTTTAATACTTTACTCAATTTTTATACGACATAAATTTTCAGTTGAGACGAAAAAAGAAATTAAAAAAGACTCTCATGATGACTTGTTTTTGAAAGCAGTAGGAGGGTTTGTTCTGGTCTTAGCACTTGATGGGGACATCATATTTATATCAAACAATGTTTCCACTTATTTGGGAATATCACAGGCAAGTTGAAAATCATAATTACATTATTTAGTTTTTTACTTAAACATTTGACTTTAAGTCCGATCAGTTACCACAAAAGGAGTCGGCCACTTTACAACCTGTGCACTATGATCAATATAGTGCATCTCCATTCTAGACCTCCTCATCGGCTTTTCCTCTTTCAGGTATACGAATCTTAGCCAGCGTAAACATGTATCAACCGAGGACTTTTTCCATTGTTTCTTCTTTTTACTGGCAATATCTGCATAAGCTTTCTGCTGATCGAAGTCTATACTTGGATATATAGCCTTTGGAGTGTGCAGTATCCAGTCAGTAACTAATTAGTTATTCTAGTAACAGGTTTTAGTTTTAGTAATTGTGCAGTTCTCCTTTGATACACAGTTACATTGGACTGAGGATTTAGTCATAATCCATTGTATGATTGATCTGTTTGTTTTTGGCAGTTTAGAGGCGGCAGAAGCATTCTTGGCTTTACAACCAGTTGCCTCTCTGCCCTGCATGCTTGTTGTTGTTATCCATAATAGCTCTGATGCAGTCCCAAACTGATCTGGACTTACTATTAATAGGTAGTTGCTTTTAGTGCCACCTGGCTGTCCAAGTAGTTATTCCTTCGTTAATGATACCTAGTCTTTATTCTTCTTGGTGTTTGTTCAGTACCCACAATCCTCATTTGAAAGATGGTGGCATATATTTTATTATTAGTTTATTCCTATGGAAACCAGCTCCCGGACCATACTCAGCCTTAGGGCCATTTGCGTACGATTAACTGGAATTTTCTTCCAGTATCCTCTACCATTATTTGAAATTTTTTATCAAATCTGAATTTTGGAGTTATGACATCAACGAGCATCCCCAGAATCTTGCCTGCCTGAAGCTTTAATTGCTCCTTGTTGAAGGTATGTAGTGGTGGTAGATTCTGAAAGATTTCCAGGGTTGGAGTCGTTCTCATCACCACAGTTATGCTCAGGAATGCTAGACTCTGAGCACTACTGCAAACTCTGACTGCCCTTAGCTCTAATGTCTTTGTTCAAGGCTAGAATGGCTCTAACAATCAACCGTAGGGACTTTTTTTTTGTTTAGTCCCCAAATTTTCCCACAAAGGAGTTTACATTTACCAACTGCAGTTTTCGCCATTTGTGTAATTTTACTTAATTGTTGATTCCATGAAAATATTCTAACAACAATGACTCCTAGATATTTTACTTCTTTAGAAAAAGGATTTACAACTCATTTAGCACATTTTATAGCATATTATTTATTATATAATGTTTGCTACATAACTTATTACTTTACTTATGTTTTTAATAAATAGTAAAGTGTCATGTTATTTCTGACAATCATTTGGGAATCACAGGTAGACCTCCTGGGACAAAGCATTTATGAAGTCACCCATCCATGTGATCATAGTGATATTAAGGAAGTACTCTCGGTGAAAAATGATCCTAGTGAGCAGTCATCATTCTTTTTACGAATGAAGAGCACTTTGTCAAGTAAAGGCCGAAGTATTAATATCAAATCTGCTTCATACAAGGTAAATTTCTATAACATAATTTCAAGTTGGGTGTGTGTATGTGTAAGTTTTTTGGGTTTTCAGAGAAAAAAGTCAAACTTTCAAAATATAAAGAGTATATGCGGTCTGGTGTGACTTAGGTTTTAGAAAAACGTGTGTGGTGATTAGTGACCGTTAGTCGACGATTATTCAGAAACCGTGAGATGCGGTCTGGTGTGATGTAGGTTTCACAAAAACACCAATAACAAATAAATCCGACGTAATCTACAAGATCAACTGTTTAAACTGTCCGGCAACTTACATCGGTCTTACATCTCAATATTTGGACACGAGAGTAAAGCAACATATCTTTGATTGCAAAAAACCCAAGCAAAATCCTACAGCACTCGCTACCCACCATTTTGAACACAAACACAATTTCGACTACAAAAATCCAAAAATATTACATACAGAACAAAACAAATATAAACGTAATTTCTTAGAAATGGTTTATATCAACCGAGATAAACACAGCATCAATTACAGAACAGACACATGTAAACTCAGTCGCAGCTACGCCAATATCAATAATATATATATAAATTCAATACAGATAACATACCTATATCATCACATTACATTCCACACATCAAATATTTTTCACATAGTCTAATTTCCCAACAATTCAGCTTTCCTTTTCCTATTTATCCCTTTCTATATAATCCTGAAAGGATAATCTGGCCGAACCATTACCAACACATTTTTTCCCTTCGTCGGCTCTTTTCACTTCAAGGAAGTCGATGCCTTATACAAAAATGTCTTTTCTATACCAACATCCTTCCCCACCCCTTCAAAATCCAACGTATATAAACACAAAATAGCAAAATCTCACTGGCACTCTCGACACGACACGCAAGAATGACACAAATACACAGATGACAAACAATTTGAATGAGTAGAAATACTTTGATTGAATATATAAAATATATTTTGTATTGTATAAATTCACTTTTCCACATCCAAAATGTAATTGTTATATGTAAACAATGTTTGTAAATCCTAGGCCCTGAAGATGATCTCAATAAAGATCGAAACGTTGGCACAATAAAGAAAATGTTTTTCTGAAACCTACATCACACCAGACCGCATCTCACGATTTCTAAATAAATATTTTAGAAAAACATTTTCTTTATTGTGCCAATGTTTCGATCTTTATTGAGATCATTTTCAGGGCCTGGGATTTACAAACATTGTTTAAATTTAACAAATACATGTAGGATGTGGACAAAAAGTGAATTTATACAATTAAAAAAAAAAAAAATTATATTCAATCAAATCACCACACATAAATTTATTTTATTTTTAATCCAAAAGATAATTTCCTTCATTTTCTATAATATACGGCCAGAATGTTTCTGGTAGCAGAAATTGTCTCCTTTTTTGTGTAACTATGATTTTCAGTGTTTTCACTCAAAAATTCCCTACCTTTTAAGTAGTTTAGGTAACGGAATAAATAAAAATCAGAAGGTGCTAAGTGTTCCCAAGAGAACAGAGGGTGGGGCAACTGTTGCCTTAACTCGGTGATTTACTCTGAGTGAGCGAAGCTTTATGAGGCCTGGTGTTGTCATGGTAAAACTCATCATTGCAACTATTCACTAAGACTGGACGTTTCCGTTCTACGCTGACCCAAGACACTCTATCTGGGCACTGTATAACTTGGTTAGGTTGCATGGTTACAGCAATCAATAAATCATTCCTCGAACATCCCACCAAACAGACCCTTATTATGAGGGTGCAACTGTTGCTGTCGATACGTTGTTTCATTCTTTTTGCAGTCTTTCAGCGTGTAACATTTTTGTAAAGGACCCACTTCTCATCTTTGGTGACCAAAATAGGAAATAAACCCTTCTAATTTATTCCTATTCAGGTGTGAAATGCAATAACCTTGGTTTTGGTTTTCCTTGTTCCCATGAGTAAAGAATATAAGATATTTCTTTTTATTCTGTGATAAACCCTGACAGCTCTACTACTGTTAATTTGTCCTCATCGTCCAATGCCACTTATCAGTTGTTAGTTTTAAGTTTGTTAGGCTGATCTTTGATGCGTCTCTCCATCTGAACCACTGACTCGCCAGTTCATTTACAACATTATCACCGTAAAATCCGCATAAATTTCAACAGGCATCAGTCACTCTGCCATCATCAAAGTCAGCAAGCAGTGCCTCAAATGAAGTATATCTTTATCTATGTAGTACAGGTCGCAATTTATTCTAGACTAGATTTTAGGATCAACTGCCTCTTTCTTAACAATCTATTTCAATTAGGTTTTTCCCACCCTAGAGCTAACGGGGTAGTCGGTAATAACGGATTGCCTTTATAAGGGTAAAAGTCAAAATTAAAAAAAAACTTACACACCTACACCCAATATAAACATATTTTTTCCACACTTATATTGTATATAATACAAAGGTCCTTCGTATCAATGGTCGGTTCATGGAACTCGATGGTGCTCTAAATGACAAATTTAGTTTTGTAACTATCGCCACTCCGATCCCACATCCGAGTGACATCGATGCACCGCTCGGGGCCTATATTTTCTTGAGCAAACATTCCTTGGATATGAAGTTCACTTATGCAGATGAAAGGTACAATATATTATTTTTACCGATTTACACCAAATTGATTGTTTTTAATTTACAGAATGACTTACTTTTTGGGTTACGAGCCGAAAAATTTAATTGGCAAATCCATGTATCAGTATCACCACATTCAAGATAACAGCTGCATTGAAAAAACATACAAAGCTTGTAAGAAAATTTTTCAAATTTGATTTTTTTTTTTTTTTTTTTCAATTGTAAAAATCTGATAAATGTTAATTTTTAGTGTTTGCAAGGGGACAGTCTGAAACAGGGATGTACAGGTTTTTAGCTCAAGGTGGGGGCTACGTGTGGGTATCGACACAAGCAACAATTATCTACTGTGACAAAGGGACCAAGCCCCAGAGCATCGTTTGCGTCAATTATGTTATTAGGTACAAATAATTTTATAGAATATTATTTGTCCAATTTTTTTAAAAATGTTTAATCCAAGTAACTAGGCAGTGTAGCCTACAGCTGAATCACCACTGTATGAAAGATAATTTTCTCACCTTACAATTTTCATTGTTGTTAAATAATAAGCGTATTTTTAAAGTGAAAAATTGCATGAAGACGAAGTCTACACCACAGATCAACTCGAGTGGGTCATGGAACATGAGAAGGAAAGGATACTCCCGACAGAGATGAAAACAGTGGCATCACCACCGAAACTTACTTCAGCAGTCAAATCTGAACAACCGTCTCCTCGTCCTCAACCGGCGACTATAAAGATATTCGCTCCTAAGACAGCAGAAATGAATCAAGGATTCCTTTCATTCTCGGATGAAAACGGATCTCCAAGTATATTTCTTATAAACTAATCTGTAAAATATTAAATTAACATTTGTTATTTTGATTTTTAGCATTGTGTAAAGACGAACCTGATGATTTAACATATCTGGCTCCTGTTGATGGTGGTGTATGCGTATCGCTTGATATCCCGTTGCACGATGTGTTCAACAATGTGACATTCAACCCCGACGATCAATATTGTCCGTTGATCAATGCAGATGCGGTGACTCCGTTGTTCTCGTCTTATCGCGATGACGGCTCGACTAATTCCTTGTCTCCAGATGAGACCGATGTAAGTTATGCAAATTTACACAAATTAGGGCAAATTGAAAGAGTGATTTTTTTTTAAATCAGAGGACAGGATGCAATCTCCCGTCACTCATCGTTGAACCTTCTAGTTTTGAAGAAGCAAACATGAAGACAATCCTTGGACTGGATCTGATCGATGCGGACACAGACGATTTGAATAAAGCACAGTACATTTGCGATGAGATGGAAGATATACCTTCATTAATGCCGTTTGATCTAGCCTGGAATGTCAATTTCCAAGCTAACAGCAATAATTCCAGTTCAAGATGGTAATTGTGATAATGCAAAGCATTTTAATATCAAAAATCTTGATTATAAACAATTTTAGTTCTCCAGTACCTCATGAGATGAATACTGATAGTCTACCAGAACTAAAGCAGTACCTTCAGAATGATGAAAACACCAGTGTGAGCACCATACAATCAGAATTCTTTATTGCTAAATCATTGGACAAAAGTAAGTCAGCTTTTAACTAAACAGTTTTACCATACTTATTGGGTATGTGCGTAAGTTTTTTTGTTTTTCGTTTTTTCAAATTTCGGCTTTCACCCTTATAAAGGCAATTTATTACCTGTTAGTCCAAGGGGGAAAAAACTATTGAACGATATTGTTAAAAAAGGGGTAGGCTATCTCAAAATTCTGTCTAGAATGAACTGTGGCGCGTACAACATGGAAGTATATAAAATTAATTTTTGCTTGCCGAGTTTGACTTGGGAAAAAGAGCATGCCTATCAAAATTTATGGGGATTTTACAGTGTTGTAACTGAATGTGTGAGTCAACAGTGGTTCAGACGCTTTCTTATGAGAGACAAATCAAAGACCAGCCTAATGAGCTTAAAAGGGATGACTTAATTAATGGCAAATTTAGACTGAAGTTCAAAGGAGCAGTGTTGCTTAAAACGGTAAATGGCATCCTTATCCACATGCATGCCCCACCTTTCTTATTGAGCATCACAACAGTAGGGGCTTAGCAGTTACGCTGAAATGATTTGACGCACGGTAACATAAAATTTCATATCTTTACTTGATAATGCAATAGTAACATGAAGTGTATGTCTGTCATTCCTTTGATCATATGGAACATGTCTAAAAAATTTTTTTGAGATTACCTCTTACATACAAACAAACTTTTTCTCTTTATTATATTAGTATAGATTTAGTTACTGGGGATGAGAAGTGGGTCTCTTACAAAAATGCTAAAGTAGGACAATTTGCTAGAAGACTGGAATGATGTTGTCGTCATCAAGAGTTGGACCCACGTAAGATACTATTTTCTGTTCAGTGGGATATCCGAGGATTAATTTATCGGAAACTGTTACCACGAAATCAAACCTTGAAACTTCTTGATTCAGCGTTGAAGGAAAAACGTCCAGCCCTGGTGAATAGATGCAACATCGTGTTTTACCACGGCACCAGGCCTCTTTCAGCCGCACTCGGAGTAAAATTGCCGAGTCAGGCTGGCAACAGATGTCCCACCGTCTATACTCTCCAGTCCTTGCCCCTTCGATTTTGCTTGTTCTGCTCCCAACAACCTCTTAAAAGGTTGGGAATTTTTGAATGAAAGTAAAAATCGAACTTAAGATGTATTCTCTAAGTAATCAGACTTAAACAAAAATGAGGTTTCTGCTACCAGAAAGTTGGCACTGTCTTATGGAAAACTAATTACATTTTTGATTAAAAATAAAATAAATTTATATTTTAAAAATTTGACTTTTTTCTGAAAAACCAAAAAAATTTAAGCACATACCAGATTAATTTTTATGCTTAATGTTATTCATTAATGCTTTCTCTGCCATATTTAATATTTGATTTACTTTTAATGTTGTTCATACTGAATTTCTGAAAAATGTGTTTACAGATGAAAGTCAAACATTGAAGAGAGTATTCCCCTCTGAGCAAGATACTGCCAAGAAAAGGAAGCACCAGACGCTGCCAGTCTCCAACTTTGGCAGTAACGAATCTATGTTGCAGAATCTATTTTCTGGCCATGATCTTGTCAACAGCTTTATGCTTCAAGCTCAGAAAAATCCAGTGATCCACAATTTTCAAAATAAGATTTAATAACGGTTTGGAGCTAATTTTTTTCCAAATTTGCCTTTTTATACGCCATTTGTAATAAAATTGAAGATGTTTTTGACAAAAATATTCATATAAAATGAAATTTAAAATTATAAATAGAATAATGGTATTGTGTTAAAATACGTTTTCATTATTTATAACTGTGTTCAAAAAGAAGCCACTAATCAAATTTGAAATATGAATGTGTAATGCAGTTAGTTTTTTTAAGGGTGTACCTGCAAAAATAAGCAGTTCGGTGGTGAAGGTCCGAGTTTCCCAACAAAAGACAAAATGGGATTTTTGTAAAGAGATTTTATTGTAGTTTTTTATAACATGTTATCTTGTAATTAAGGTGTTGTGTCCCCAGCCAATTGATTATTTAAGGGGTTTTGTCTTTCATATTCATCTTTTTTTTTTGTTTTTAATTTTAAATTCAATTTTAATATTGATTCGAGGAGGACAATTAGTTCTATGATTTTTTGCTCTTTTCGAACCTCATTTGGAGGAATGGAACTCCTCAGTTATCACAGTAAATCCTCAATGAAAAGTTAGTTGCAAATTTTAAGTACAAAAACTACTTAATTAATTTTTGTTTTATATGATGTGCTTTTCCATATTGAGTAACGTGTCAAAACATTTCATTTCTACTTTTATATGCTTAATACAGTGAAAACTTCCCTATAAAGGACACGCTCGGGGAATGAAACAAATTGTTCGCTTTTGGGAGAAGAGTGAAAAAGTGTTTAGTATTACAAGATGGGCCATAATCAATCAATAAAATTTGTATTTACTTGTAAAATATGATTTATTAAACACAAAAGAACATTTAAAAAAATGTGACTGAAAAACTTTGTTATTGATCTGCTTTATAGAAGATTTTAGAGGGAAGTTGCCAGGTAATCAGGATTTGTTCATTCAAGGAAGGCGTCTTCTTTTGAAAGGTGTCCGTTAAGGGAAGTTTCACTTTAAAATAATAAAGTGTTAATTTATCAAGGACGAAAACACACAATGAGTGCCAAAAGTTTTGATACACCTCATCTTCAAATTTATCCTCAATGAAATAGTCACCAATAACAGCAACGCTTATATGCCCCCAAATAAGTTTGCTGCCCCCCCCCCAATGCTTTACTGTGAGGATAAGATTCAGAATTCAGCTCTGTATTTTTTCTGACCAGATCCAAAAATACTAATACTTACACTCCTGAGGTTGAACGTTTTTAGTACAGTCGGTTTTCCGATAAATCTTATTTATATATCTTATCTTATTTATACATAGTTTAAATATTTTTTCTAGTTCTTTCTTGAGCCTCCTAAGCACTCTCGCTTGTTGATACACTTTTCAATTTCTTCCTTATTCTGTAGCCAATTTAAGAATTTTTCTGCATTTTCTGAAGCACTTAATTTAGACCTTCTGCTTCTTATAAATGAAAAACACTTAGTTGGGCCATGCTATTTTTTGAACTGTTGCATGACTCCTATCTCGCATCGGATTATGCAGACAAATCATTTTTCTTTCAACAACAGTGGTTTTTTGTCCCATTGCTCTTTAAAATGTATCGATTTTAAGCAAAAAAAAAAAATTGTAATGTTTAAGTACTGACCACAAGTGAAATGTTACGAAAGACATGCAATGAGGAGCATCTTTTGCCCCTGTTTTGCCTTCAGAACACTTGAAGGGAGATAATTATGTACCTGTTTTGTGGTGTTTCATCATGAAAAAAATGTAAAAAGATAATTTTTTCGTGTGTATCAAAACTTAAGACACCGTAAATTGTAAAATATTACAGCCAAATCAAAATGAGATTATTGTTGAGGATTTTCTGTTTTATTTTAATAAAAAATTATTGTATACCATTATGTAAAAATATAGAATAGGATTCATTTAAACAAATAAATATATATATTATTATACATACCAAAATATATATTAGTTTTTAAAATATGTTTCTTTTTTTTTTACCTTAAACCGTCTTCTGGTGATCCAAAGGTTGCAAATACACTGAGAGGTAAAAAAGTGGCAGCCCTCGGTTTTTTTTATTAAATGCAATCGTTATAATTTTTATTTTTTGTTGTTTACTGGATTCTTTTAAAGAAAAATATGATATATATATAATAAATAAACCGAGTAAAACATTTTTATCAAAAATGTTGCTGTGGAAACAATGAAGAAAATATTCAGTTCAGTACGAAGTACTTCCTACTCTTGCATTGATCATCACTTGCATTCCATGTGGCATCGATTTTACAAGGTTTTGAATGTAGTCTGGAGAATATTTTCATCTAACAATGCCATTCTTAACACTATGTTGGTCGTTATGGATCTCAGAGATCCACTTAGTTTTTTCTAAACAACTAGATATTTCTGGTCGGTGGTGGGCTCTCCTGACTAGGGAATTTACATAATTCAGTGTGACAATAACCGTGCACTCAACTTCGTCATTGAACTGGGATGCATTTGGATCCGCAAGATCCAGCATGACCAAATTTGTTAATATTCTCATTTTATTTATTTTTTATTTTATACAATCTTTCCATTTTTTGTTTCGTATTACCCATAATAAGTATTTTTTTAAACATTGTGTTTTAGCATTTTATAGGTGCTGAATCTAATAAATCCAATGCGATGGTTCCTTTTTTATTCTAATGTGTTTTTAATTTTTTTTTCTTCTATTTTAATGAATAATTTTCATAATTTTTCCAGAGACACAATAGCATCAAAAAATATTTTCTTTTCACAATCCAGAAGACTGTGAAAATCCATATTTTTTTAGGCAAACGAGGTTATGGATAGACCCGTACATGACAATTCGTGATTCTATTGAAAGATGCTTCGTCTAGATGTTTATGAAGCTTCCGATATAGAAGAAGCTGAAGAAATAGAGGTGCAAGACTCAAATTCTGAACAGAGTGATATCCAAAGTATGACACAGAAGAGGATGATGGTTAATTTATACCTGCAACAGAAAATTGGAAAGAAAGTAGTTGACATCATAAGTTGACTGGTGACAGCAGAAGAATACACTAGTCAACAAGAGAATGTGTGTGTGTGTGTGTGTGTGTGTGTGTGTGTGTGTGTGTGTATTATATATATTTAATAATTTTTATTTACAGTACTAACTGGGATCAATCAAAAGCTGTCAGAAAAAATATGTTCCTTAATTATATTTATGTATAAATTACTTTTGTTCCCTTTGTTTTGCTTTATTTAGTTTTATTACAAAATTTTGAAAATACGCATATTATTTTGGCCAAAGTTAAAAAAAGGCAGGTTTTCCCATAATTATCGAAATTTGATAAACGGATTTCACAGATCCAGTGCGACCACCCGTGAGATTCCAAAGGGTGCGACCAATGGAGTATTGATTCCTGTGAATTCTCTGGCATCGCTGGGTTACTTTTTCCCTCTGACAATGTGTCCCAAAAGTGTTAGATATGGTTTCAAATAGGGACTGGCCACTCCTAACATTGAATTGAAGCCCGTACCAAGTAGTCACCGACAATACTTGCTGTGTGGGGCCTGAATTGTCATGTATAAAAATAAAACCATCGCCAATTAGTGGCATGTAAGGAACGACTCTTGTAATAACATTTTCAATGTATTGCGCAGCTGTTAGGGAACCCTTGATGAAGATCAAGTTTGTGTGACCTTCCATAGAAAGGTCAAACCTGCCCAAACCATAACACTACCAACTCCGTAGCTTTTCTTGAATAAGAATATATCGCTCTCCTGTTTTTCTTCAAATCCTCTCTTGGCCATCAGAACACCTCAAACAAAACCATGACTCATCCGAAAACAATCGGACTCCTGCTCAGACCAGCTGATGTGACTTCTTGCGATACTTAACCGAGCTGTGCTGTAACTTGTCAGTAGTAAAGAATCTTCTCCTTTTTGCTTTTATCTCACAAATTATGAGGTTTTTGAGCTTAATTCTTGTGCTGATGAATTCAGGGAGAGAGAGAGGGAGAGTGCAATAGTGAGAGAGATGGAATGAGAGATTGGCAGAATGCAAGAGAGGTATTTGGTTGTATGCGTTTATCTCATAAACTAGATAATGTAATGCTATGACTCTAAAACAGACTATAATCGCCATGAGATCTTAGAAAGGATTAAAAGGTATTTCTTAAAAAAATTATTTTCTCTACCTACGAACACCTATACTTGCATGGTTAATATTGATCTTTGTTTAACCAATTTTCTTATCTACATTACCTCTGCATTTTAAATTTTGTTTGAGGGTGTTGTCACTGCCAGGTAATCGAGGAAAATTCTGTAGCCAGGGTAAGGCTTAGGGCTCTCTGGTTCACAATTACTGTTGTGAGTGATCTTTCATAGATAATATGGCCTCTTTCAGACGAGGCGGTTTGGTTGATCAACTAAGTTGCCCGGTTGACTCTCAACTAGTTCACTGCCGTGTGAAGACTTTTCTTTGCTGGTATCACACCAAGCAGCTTGTGGAATCAACCTCTCTTCCCAACTGGAGGTCACTACGATATTAGAACCCGAAGAAACAGGAGCACTTCTTGTGCTTGCTCTTCTGCAAAAATACATAATGAATTCATGCTTCTTTTAATTTTGTCGCTATACTCCTCACACCTCATGTCCCTTATCATGGAACTAATACGAATATCTTTGATGAACTGCTCCACATTGAAACTTGCAATTGCTTTCCATGGTGAACTCAGTTGACTTAATTAGGCGACTGGTGTGAAGGACGATTGATGAGCAGTGTCGTTTGAGTTCAGTCAACCAGTGGGGATGAGAAAGTGAGTGGCACTTGTGCCTGCTGGCCACCCGCCTGTGTGAAGGGGTTGGTGCGATTCCCAAACATTTTACTACCACGTTACACTCATTGACACCCGTCCGTTCAACTAGTCGTCTCGTCTGAGAGGCCTATGTCTCAGTGTAAGTCCTTTCCTTTCTTTTACAGAAGATAGGAATAGTTCATCAGGAGGAGTATGTGAGGTCGGCTAACAGCCTGAACACATTCCTGTTCAGAACCCTTTTGGAGTCAAATATGGACTTCTGTGTTTTTGGCTGCTATGACTCTGAATTGAATATTTGTCAATTGAGGCGGTTGTTCAAATTGATGGGGGAATAATTTAATAATCATTTATCAATTATTTGCCCTGGGTGAGGAAGAATCCTCTCAAGGAAAGATGTTCTATGTGCAATTTGAATACCAAACTTCAAAATTTATGAATGCCCTGTGCTGGCCAAATTTCGCCAGCTCTATTTGGGAAATAGCTACCTACTGGTCCAGCAATTATCAGAGATTTGACAAGCCCTCGGCTCTGCAAACCTTTAATTGCTTTTGCAAGAAAGTTCTGCACTATCACACCCTGGCCAGCGCAGACCTCCCAGTCCTCTCTGAAGGTCTCCAGCAGAGCGAGCCCCAGTTTCTTCCGGGTCATCTGCACCAGTCCAAGTGAGGTACAACTTAATAAGGGAGTTTATTTATTTATTTTTACAAGGGTTCGCAACAGTAAAGGTCATATCAATTCTCAGGGTGTCAGTGTTTTTAAAAAAAAAGTGCATTTGTAAGTATGTCGGGTTTGAACGCAGGGACACTGTATTTGAATTTGAGACCTTTATCTTATAGTAATAAGCACTGAGCAATAATAAAGGAGTTTAATTATAATTTTGTGTCTCGTTGGTAAATTAGTATATTAGTTTTTTTATTCCTATTCTAAGATTAATTGTATTACTAGGTGGGAAAATAATACTATTTTTAGTTTAGATTATTATTGTGACTTATGTATTTTTTATGTTAAATAAAATATCTTTAATATTACCACTGTAAAATAAATTAAATTATGATATAATCCAAACTCAGGCAGACAGCTTTTTGCCATGCTTCTAATTTATTGTAAATATATTGTAAATTTTTCCTTAGTTTAATAAATGTATTCGTCGTCTTCTATTAGCCTAATAAAATTGGCAAAAAAAAAGTCAGTTTGGTTTGCAGATTCATCTCGAAGATTCGTTGCTGTATATTTTAATATTTTGAGTGCAAATTATCTGACATATTTGAGGGTTTTTATTGCATATAAATTCGGGCTTTAGTCATAATGGACACTTGGAACACTTTTTATTGCACCTAAGGGAAAACTTGTTTTGAAGAGCTAAGTTGTCAGCAGGAGTTTATTAGCACATGGAGTTTTAACATAAATTTTAGTTAAATTTTAAGTCATTGGCAAAAAATAGGAAAGAACAACAACATTTATAAAAAAGTCTTCTTCTTTTTCAAGACTACACAACCTAAGCATCAACAGGTTGCCACAATATACCAAGATTTTGCCAAGGTTTTTGATAAAATTGATCATTGCCTCCTTATCCAAAAACTCATCATCCTTTTCATGGTTCTCTCCTCAAATGGTTTAGCTCCTATTTGCAAAATAGAAATCAATTTGTGAAACTTAATTTAGTAACTTCTAAAAAAGTAGTAGTATCTAGTAATTCTAGAAAAAATAGGTGTACATCAGGGATCATTTCTCGGCTCATTCCTTTTTAATGTATTTATTAACAATATTTATCCTTACTAAATTAATTATACACAATTTTTCATTTCGAAAAAAATTGTGTATAATTAATTGGAGTATTTATATATTTAAATAGAAGTTATAGTACAAACTTATAATGAAATGCGCAGAACATAAGACGACAAAATAATGACCTGATAATTTCTTACAGACTCAAATAATATGATCCACTGTCCATACTTAATTTGATAAATTTCCGTTCCACAACACCAGGCAAAAAATATTATTTTCAAAATCTAATTTTAATACAAATTATTTAAAATTTAGTCCAATTCCTCGACTCATGGGAAGGAATAATGAACTTCCTTTAAATTTTGACACTTTTTACCTTTCCTTAAGTCAATTTGAACATTTTTTTTGAAAATGTTGATCATGGCAATTATTGTTTGATTTGGTTATACATTTTTGCTGTTTTCATTAAATTTTTATCATTCTTTGACACCTCCTTTATATTTGTTAACTTATTTCTGTTGTTTAATTGTTTAATTAATTTTTATTGTCCCTTCTCGTTTCCTTTATATTTGTTTATATATTTCTGTTTTTTAATTCAATTTTTATCATTCGTTCTCTATATTTTTATACACGTGTATTATGACATAGTACTTACAATATTTTATTTGTATTGTTTGTTGAGTATGTCCATGTTTTTAATTCTTGTTATATGTATATTATTATTTATGTTTAAATTATTCATTAATACTTATTTTTCTAACTTATTATTACTTTTTCATCTCAACCAAGACCTTACATTAATTGAAAGAAGTAATTTGATCCTTTTTTCAACAAAAAATAAACAACCTAATAGACTGTTCATTTTTGGAAACTCAATGTATACGATATTTTGATGCATTTGGTCGGGAACATTAGAGGATCTCAAAGAATTCCTCCAAATAATTAATTCTCTACACCGTAATATAAATTTTACATTGGAAATTAACAAAGATGGTTGTTTGAACTTTTTATACCTAAAATTGTCCATAATAAACAAACTAATAGATTAAAAAAGGATTCAACACTGCACTCACTTTATCATTCACCATTTCAATTAATTTGCTAGTCAAAGAAGTAATTTGGTCAATTAGACCACTAAACATAATGGATTATTACTTTACCCGGGTATATTTATGCGTGTAAATAAATGAAAAAATAAACAATAGGAAAAAGAAGGGCCCAAGGTGAGCTCCTTGAGGAATTTTTAGAGTTGATACAAAACGTCGATCCGTTTAGTTTCGCTGTGTTGATAATATTAAATTTGAAGCGTGCGGCGAGGCGGATTTTGAAATTTGGCCGGCTTAGCCGAAATTCCGTCGTCTGTGAGCGGCGTTTCTCGTCTCACAGCTAAGTATTGTTATTCGTTCTAGACTTGTTTGTCTGTTGTCAGTTGTTTGTTGATACAACAAGCTGCGGATAGCGGAGGCCGGTAACGTTCACTCTCCAGGCCTAAATCGCTGTTAAGTGTTAACTGTTCGAGTCGAGTCGTACTTGCCAAGTGTGAGTCAGCTTTTCGACATTTATCAAGGATTTAAGCTTGGATTTTCAACGTTTCCGCTCCTGTTAAATTGTTCTGTCGAAATGCCGAAGAAACGGGGCAACAACTGGACGAACAGGGAGAAGCCGGACGTCGCCCGGGCCAGGTGGCAGCGGAGGTTGGACCACATTCTAGGTGTGAGGAGGCCCATTCGGCGGAGGAGGGTCGCGCCGTCCCCGGTCGTCGCCCCGGCTCCCGCCATCGACCTCCACCGCCGCCACAGGAGGAGCGCCCGCCTCCGCCCTAACTACTTGACTCAGCTGTTCCGCGTCGAGGCCTCCATGGGTGGGAGGGTGCCTATGGTGAAGCTGACGAGGCTTTCGCCCGAGGTGCTGGCACGCTTCGTCGAGGAAGGAGCCGGACCAGTGCCAACGGTCGATGAGGTCGAACTGCCGGATCCAAGGATGAAAGCTTTCATGCGAAGCCTTTCGCTCTCTCCCAGGTCTTCGGCATCCCCTCACAACGAAAGGACCGGCTCGAGGGCGGACGCCTCCGGGTCGAGTTCACCTTCGCCGGATGATTCGCCAGTTGTGCTCGACCCGGTCGAGCCCCAGGAGTCGGCTCCTCAGGAAGGGTCTTCAGTCGGAGTCGCAGACGCGCCCCGTGAGGGTGCAGACATTGTCAGAGTATCAGCCGCTCGACTTCACGGACGCAGCCTCGCCGATTCTTTGAAGATGATAGAGAGCTTTACGAGTGAATACGACCGCTTGATCGAGGCGCAAATCCATTCTCATAGTAACGGAGGTTCTGGTCAGTCAAGCGACTCTGCGGGTGATCTGGCAAACTTGGTACTATTTTAAAAAATTCCAATATAAGTTATTTTATACTTATAATAACCCTTTAAGGGGTGATGAGCCTTTAATTTCATCCTTGATCATCTTGGTCTGTCAGGCACATTTCAACATATAGCCATTTGTCTCAGTTAGGCAGACCAAGATGAACAGATGAATTGTTTGTTTTTCAGATATGTTTTAATCTGTGCTTGAGATAAATCGGGCTTAGTTGAAGCTTCAACTGAATACCTATCTTTTCTAAAGCTTTTGACATCGTAAACTATTCTTTTAATCTTTCTAAACAAAATTCCCTTTTCTTCTCAAGCAGTGTTTTTCGATGGTTTCATTCCTTTCTCTCAGCCCGTTTACAAATAGCCCTCATCCCAGACAACCCTCCTTCCTTTCCCCTGCCCATCATTACTGGTCTTCCTCAAAGCCCCAATTTATCTGCCTCCCTCTTTTATTGTTATACTAATGTTCTTCTTACTATCCTTAAATACTGCACTTATCACCTCTCCCTGACTTTTAAATCTATCTCGCCTTTCACCTCATGACCTTCAAATCTCAATCACGTGAATCCACTAAGTACCATCAACTCCTGGGCCGTTGAAAATGGATTCTCTTTCAATATCAATAAGTCCCAGTCTTACAGCGTTTGGATCCCATCTCCTCCCACCTTCCTAATCCTTCGCTCTACATTAAAAACCAACTGATATCTTTTTATCCTTCTGTCAAAAATCTTGGGATCATCCTTGATCAAACCCTATCCTGGAAACCAAACATTTCTCAAATCTCCCGCCGCTGTTTCTCCACCCTCCACCAATTCTGTCATGTAAACCAGCCCTTCCCAATCAATACCGACAAACTCCTGGTCTTCTCCCTTGTGCTTATCCATTTCGATTATGGCTGTTAGGCGGAATCATCAGCAAGCGTGTTAACGGACTCAAGAGAATCACAAACTGCTTTCTTCGGTTCATATTTACCTCCCAAAGGGATATCATTTGTCTAATATGTATCCATGATTTGAATTGGGTGTACCCCCTTCTAATCCACCACTTTTAGTTGATCCTTCCTTATCCGTTCCTACAACCTCTGCAAATCTTTTCCTAATTTCACTTTCTGTGCCTCAACCCTTTCCACCTTTAAGTACTTTTTCAGTACCTCCTGTCCCTCCATTTTTTTTTGCCTTATGATCTTTGCATATTAGCCATGACGAATTCTTATATATGTTGTTAAAATTTGGGGTTATCGGGAAAAAAGGGCCAGAGGCGACGGTGGGAATCGAACCCACGACCGCGGCGTGAGAGTCTGTCATGCTAACCACTCGGCTACCGCGGTCCCCGTCCCTCCATTTAACACCGATGATGGTTAATTTTCTGTTAATTTTTCCCCTTCTTATTTATTAGGTTTATTTTATATATTTACATGAATTTTACTAAATAATTAATATTACATTTATATTACATTAATATTACATTTTACTAAATAAATTAAATTACATTTATTTCTTTTTTATATATTAATTTTTACTTGAATTGTGCCAAATTTTGAACTTTTTTATTCAAGGGAGCCCAAAGCCCCAGAATTAAATTTATTTTCTTCATTTTCTTAGTCAAATATTGCCTAAGGCAATGAAGATTTTTACAGCATTAAAAAACCTTAGGGGATGGTATGAAATATAAGCATGCAACATAAAATACCTTTATATTTTCTCTCCTTTTCAAATATTTGAAAAGAAATATTATTTTATTTGTACCCATACATATTTGTACATATTACAAATATGATTTAAAAAAGTTTTTTTTTCACACTAACACTAGTGCCAGCACTGCACCTGGGTGACACTGCCATGAGAAACCAGCCAATGTTGACACTCAGTGAAGAGTCAAAGGGCAAGGAGGTCCCAAGGCAATTGTCGATTAAGGCTCGGTGGCGGGCTCTCGGGATGGGACTGTGTGGAGAGTTAGGATGGATCAAGAGGTTGGTGGGAAACTTTTGTAATCAGGAACTGATAGTCGAAGAGGGAGGAATGTTGAGGTTGTTGTGGATAGTGATGTTAGCGACAGAGAAAGGAACATGGGTAGTATTTAGTGACCGCATCTCATGATCTCTAAAGAATAATTAATAGAAAGGAGTATTGACTTTTGATTAGAAGTATTGGATGGTCTGGATGTTGGATGGCTTGGCAGAACCCCACAGTTCCACTATATATGCCCAAAGTGGTCACAGTAAAGTCTTGTATATGGTTAGTTTAGTTTTGACGGTCAAGGCAGATTTTGGTCTTAGAAGTCTTTGTAGTTATCCAGGTCTTCTGTTGACCTGTTCTTTTAAAATATAAGATAGTTCTCTCCAACTTTCCATGATTTTCCCTAACACCTCTCATATTGGCCAACTGATACGAACCGCATCCCTGACCTCATAGATTTCAACCTAAAAAACATCAGTTCAATATCCATAAAATCCGAACCTCTGCTCCCACTCGTTTTAAACCTACTGTCCTTAAAATGCCAAACCAGAGCATTATGGGTTAGGTCTAGTCAGCCTTCAATAGATTATCCATATTGTCAAAACAAATTTATATTCCACCACAAACATTCATCTCTTACCTATTAAACCTAACGATATGCGATAGATAGAAAAATCCTATATATCTCCCCTTTGTCGACAGGTATGGGTCATGTCCGATCTCGACAAAGCCAACAATTTTGCTCAATACCTCCACGACATACACCTCCAATCATGACCCCAATAATACTTCTAAAATGAAATCCATGACTACCTCACATCCCCCATTTTCCTTCCACCCTCAACAGTTAGTGCTTCAGAGTTTTATCACGAATCAGATGCTGAATCACATGACCCCTGGCTTTGACCTATCCCGTCCTGAATCCTCCGGGAACTCCCCCAAAAGCCATCATCCTACTCACATATCTCTACAATAGTATATTCCGCACCATTCAATTCCCTTTGTTCTGTAAATACTTCAATACCGTCAATTTCCCAACCCGACAATTGCCATCCGTAAAGCTTCTTCCTACCGAACAATCAGATGACCAGTTTGACTTTTGTCCTCAACATTACATAACCAGCAGGTGCTTCGACCACATATCCTCATTCCTCGTGCAAAGGGGACTTTCTTGACATGACACAAGTGTGTGGTATGAGGGTCTCCTATACAAATTAAAACGTCCTGCCTAACAGATTTTTCTGAGTTTGCCAAGGATTGTGTTACTCCGAATATTGCCCTCTGAGAGGGGAAGTGCTGCAAGGCAGTCTGCTCACCAATCTTGCACCTCATCTTTACCTCAGATATCCTGGCTATACCCACCACTCTCCTAGCTTCCTTTGCTGTTGACACAGCTGTGTGATGCTCTGATTCTGATCCCACAATTGCTTTGGAGGAGTTCCAGGCACACCTTCAACGAGTTGAGTAGAGCAAATTCTGGCACCTTAAGATAAATGGAAGCAAATGCAAATGCATTCTTTTACCCTTTGAAACAAAACCCATCATACAATATTCTTTGTTACAAACTGAAAAATGAGAATTAAACAAATGCGTCGGACTTCTATACAAAATTATTTTCAACATTACATAACCAGCAGGTGCTTCGACCACATATCCTCATTCCTCGTGCAAAGGGGACTTTCTTGACATGACATTTTATCTCATTCCATAATGTTGATAATTTGAACAATGATAATTAAATTAATTTAAAAAATAAGTTAATTAGGATCTTAGGTTAATTTGTAGTTTTTGAAGTTTAAAAAGGATTAATTTGATGGAAAAAAGCTAAAGTACATGATTGTATTTTGATTTAAGTGCATTCACTTGAATGAACGATTCAAGGATACATCCTTTGTACATTACATTATCCATTTTACATACCTACGTTACATAATAATAACAATTAGTAATTTATTTGCAGGGTGGTGCATATTTAGCATAGGAAATGCAATTTTGTTGATGTTAAAGTGTTAATAATTTTTAGTTCCATCAAATAAGAAATTATTTATATCGATAAGAAAATATACAAAATTCATTGATAAGAAATGAAAATGTATGAGGTACATTTCTAAATTAAACAAAAATTGTGTGAATTGTAAAAAAAGTCGTGGGTTGAAGATTGATATTATTATAATGAAGGAAGTTAAATGAGGTGTTTGAAGATATACTCTACAAATATATTTTATTCAAAGTATGCAAAAAAAAAAAAACATTATTTTTATGGGAAAAAAACATTCATTTTATACACTCTTACAAATTTTTATGCCAAACAAAAATAATCTGTTTGCTTTTCTTTACTCCCTTCATTTTTATTATGTTCACAGCTGATGACTCATAGTGTTTACATGCCTTTATCAACATAAAAATGCATTCATTATAAATCTATTTTTAACTTTTTTCAGAATAACTTGCAAAGGTTGTTGACAATGCCTTCAACACAAAATGAGTCGATATCGGAACCTGACTCATGCGATGATACAATGGACCATTCAATACCTTCAACATCAAATGCCGAGTACAATACACTCCACGTATTGCAAAATAAAGTACACTGTATGAGTGGGAAAACATTGAAAGACGAGGATGATTCCCCTGTAGAAACTGTAAAAACCCCTTTGACCACGGATGCTACTGAGAACGATGAAACTGTGGTAAATGAGGAAACTCCCCCACAGCCAACTCATAAAAAGGCTATTGATAGACTTGACAACATTTATGGGTTATTGAACCTTTTTGTGACGGAACTCGTCGGAATGGGCAGACCTCCTCCTCCAATAAACGTTGAAATAAATCGTTTAATTTCTTTTGACCGAGGCTTGTCCAATTCGACATCTATAGAATTTTATGAAGACATCGTGTTCACCAACAGCACTTTTTTTAGAACTTGTGAACGAAACCCCTACAATTTCACCAGGGTAAATTTGTTTTTAATTTTTGTTGTTTTATTTACACAAACATATCTGTTGATAATCAAAGCACAGTGAAACCCTTCTCTAATAAGTCAAGGCGAAAGAGAGACTGATATGAAAGGAAAAATGAAATAATCACTATTTCCAATTTTTTCTAATTGTTTACTGAATTCATTTCACTTTTTTTTGTCAAAATGTTTTGTGCTATTGGTATTATTTTAATTCTTTTCTACATCAAATCAACTCAGTATTCTTTGGAAATTTGATTTTAAAAAATTGATCCAAGAAAGAAATCTGTTTAATTTTTGGCGACAAATTTACAGCACAACTTATTCAGAAGTGCCTGATGGTGCAAGATTCAGGGCAACAAACTTAGTATTCAGTGAACTCGGCCTTTTGCTGCCTTTCATGGTCTCTCCTTGGCTCTGATTTCTAAACTCTCCTCGTTAGTTGACTCTACTTGACTCTCTCCTGCTTTTTACTCAGGTCTTGAATCTACTATTAAATTAGCTTTCAAATCCTCCCTTGTTATATTGGTCCTCCAAACATGGTGGAGGAAGGAAAAACAAATTCCTTAGATCAGAAAGTGGGTCCCGATACCCGGCCATTCAGCAAATACTCATGTAGTTCCCTGCAGTTCCTCTGGTGGGCAACCCTTGAAGAGCCCTGTACCCTTGTTAAAATAATACACACAAGAGTACTCTTTTGGGCTGTATGCACACTTTTTGCATTACCGGGGTGTGCACAAGCGTTGGGTTAGGATTAGGGACAAGTTAGTTTAGGAAGAGTTAGTGTTAGAGATGAGTTAGGTCAAGATAGGAAGAATTAGGGGTGTGTTAGATTAATTTAGGAACATTTAGTGCTAGAGATGAGTCAAGTTAGGTTAGGATGGGTTTGGGTTAGGGGTGAGTAAAGTTAGGTTAGTACAGGTTAGAGTTAGGGACATCATTTTTATACTTTAGATACAACAAATTTAACATGCATTATTATTATTATTAAAGTAGTTCTGCTTTGCTCCCAAGAAATATTGAGAAATAGAAAAACGCATTTGATGGAACAGACTGGGTGGCGGATGTTGAACATATAATTTTAGGAAAACACATTAGATGGCACAGAGCAGATTGGTGTTTGTTGAACATATAATTTTAGACATCAGGAGTTGAAAATTTTGATGAAACGCATAACAAAAAATTTGAATTTACATTGATTTATAATGGGTTCGAATCCCGCTTGTGACACTGACTTTTTTTTATCTCAAAACCTTAATTAATTGAAAAGAATTTATTTGGTCAAGCGGACCACGAAACCTAATAAAATTGATTTATAATTTTTATGTAAGTTGTGGTTGAGTTGAAAAAGCTCACAAGAAGTTAGTGTAGAGAAGTACTTACTTTGCTAACAGTGCTCCACGGCCACTTCATGTGTTGCCAAAAATTGAATAAGGTTACAGGAAATTTGAACATATGACAAAAAGAGGGAAATTTGAACAAGTTGTACATTGAGAAGATGAGTTGGTATTCCAGGGGACTGAAGTCACGATAGCTCAAGTGGTTAGATCACCGGTGTTTTAAACCCGCTCGTGACACTAATTCTTCATCTCAACCACACTTTACAAAAAAATTATAAATCAATTTAAATAAACACTTTGGTTAATTAGAACCAAGTAAAATACATATAGATTAATAGAATTTACACTCAGTTCATTTACTCAATGTTACTTCAATTTCATTTACTAATGTTCATCCATTACAATGATATATTAACATATTGTTTTCACACATAAAAAATAATAACCATAAAAAATTGAAAAATATGCAATTTTGTGCAAAATAAGAATAGAGTCAAAAGAAAGTCCTTTCCATAATTCAAATTTCTGACTTGCTTTCATCGCAGTCACAGTTAGCATTGAAAAGATGCAATTGAAAGAGAATCTGTGCTTTAATTATTATGTTATAATTCCAAAATAATCAATTTGTTTAAATAAATATATTTAATGTACAGGTGTTGTTTTTTTTCCAGGAAATTATGGACATCATTAAATTAGGTAACCCGAATGCCGAATATAAGCATTTGCTTGCTGCTCTTTTTTTTGCATGCACTACTGATTCAACGTGGGAAGACTGCGTTCAATTGTTTCATTTTACAACTCTAGCAGAATGCATACTGGCCTTCCACAACATGACACTTGATATATGCATCATTGCGCATCATGCAAAATTAGCCATCCCATCATTGGAAGAAACAGATACCCTCGCTGAAGCATTTTATATTAGACACGGAGTAAAGAGTAAGTTAAAAAATAAATACGCTACATAATTCTGAATTGTGATTTTAGAGCTCAAATTTCTCTACACTTTCTACACTTTACATAATTTTCAAATAATATTTGTGTATAAATGATACTTATATATAGTTTTAAAATCAATTTCAGATGTAATGGGAGTAATTGGTGATATGAAAATCCAGTGTACCACTGGAACAAATATAATTATTCAACTCTTCTGTGATAGTGATTTTATCGTTCGAGACGTTTTTTGTTGTTCAGAAGATTTGAGGCCTAAAAAAGTATTTTTAAAAAGTCCTCTCTATACCACCTTGTATGATAGGCCTAAATCCGAGTAAGTTATCACAATTGTTATTTAAATATTTTCTTAACCTTCATACCTTACACAATCGTCGCCGTATTAGTTTTACTAACTCATCCTACCTAGTCCTTTTTGAGGTATTGAGGTCTTTTTATTTATTGGGTTTATTGTCCAAATGGTTTTATAGATTTAATAGTGGCATATGTTAAATTAATTAAATAAAGATTCAGCTTCACATCAAATGTCAACAATATATTTACGCCAAGTAACAATAATTGTTTAACAATGTAACAAACTTACAAACTAAATTATTTGATAAATACTCTATTTAAAAAGGGCATTGGGTGAGGATTAAAGAGATTAAGGAGAGAATGATTGAAGAAATTAATAAGGGAAAGAGTCTCATCTCATCACAATCTCGTTGCAACTCATGATGTTAGCATAAGACTATTGTTCCTATTAGTGTCTTTTGAAATGCCGACAAAATGAACAAAGAATCCATGATTTAATGATTTATTAATTTTTAGGAAGCCTAAATAATTTTCATAAATTCCAATGTTTGTCGATTTCCAGAAATTTGATACTTGCGGGACGTTACCTTAAGGGTTTACCATTTCTGAAGACTGTCACCTACTTAAACCCAGAAGGAAATGAGGAACTCATTCAAGTGCTTCAACAGATGCAATGCACATTTAATAAAATTGATGAACGGTTTCCTCGACTCGGTAATATGCCGTATCCCAGTTTCGGTCATATTGTGGCCATGCTCGTGCTCTATAATATAACTGAAACAGGCAAGCACAATGTTTAGCTGGTTAATTAAGACTGTGTAGTTTTAAATTTAAATGTTTAATTATAGTTATAAAAAGCAAAGCTGTGCATAAAAAACTAGATTAAAAAAACTTGATCTCGTGTTATCAAAGATATTGCATTTATATACAATTGTTTTTATTTCATATTTTATATTTTGTACTTGTACCTTTTCAAAGTAAATGAAATATTTTTTATATTGTAAAAATTTGTATGTCGTTATTATATAAGTCAACTGCGTGTTAATAATTCATAATTATAAACATGTTAATTATTAAAGTTACTATTTTTATTGCCAAGCATTGTTCCATGTAGTGATAATTGAAAATTTATCATATTTTTAGTCCTTAAGGGCTGACAAAATTTATATCCTTTAATAACTGAATATATTTAAGAATAGTCAAAAATATTTTATTGTAATTTTATACCAGTATTTCAGTTATTGTTACCATTTAATGTTGTGTTTTTCAGTTCAACTAGTTAATATTTTATGTATATTTACTATTAAAAATGTTGTTTTCATTTTATGAAATAAATTTATACTACACATCCATTTTTTTTCTTGACTAAAAAAACCTTTTGGAAATATGTTGCCATCTCAATGCTCTAACTGTTGAACTGTGCTACATTTGAACAGTGATTTTTATTTTCTGTTTGGAAATCATCCACAAGGTGGGCTACATACACGTTTGGTGAAAAAAATTCCCATTCTATAAAAGTAGGAGTTAAAAAACATGCGCCGTTAGAAATTTAGTGAGGTAGTAGACAACTAAGTTGTATTTCCGTTATGCCCATATTTTAATATCAGAGGATATAAGGAGCTGGCTATTTGGAGGGCTTCTCTTTGGACTTATTTGGAACATTCCATTCTTGTTTTTTTGAACACCGCAATCCTCTCCTTACATCCTGACACTATCCTTGCAGCAAAAGCAACCCAAAACCACCTAGAGCTCATTACCGACCGGTGCACTTGGTGGCGCATCAAACTAAATGAACAAAAAAGCCAGCATGTGATGTTCACACTTTAAGTCCTCCCCCATCCAACCAAATCCGCTACCTTGGGTCCTACTTGGTCAGAAGACTTACATGGATCACACACATAAAACAAAAAAGACAATAACTGAACCGAAGATACAGACAACTTAAACATTTACTTGTATCCAAATCTACAATGAGTACACATATTGGGTTGTCCGGAAAATAATGCAGGATTTTGGTATTAAACAAAAAAAAAGAAACTAGTTACTTTAAAGCAATGTTCTTTAATCAAAATAATTTCCCATACTCTCAATACATTTCTCCCAACGTGTTGGTAACTTATTAATTCCGTCTGAGTAGAATTCAGAATTTTTAGAATTGATAAAGTCAATAAATGCATTTTCCAGTTCCGTTTGATTTTTGAATATTATGTGTTGTAAGTAGTGGTCCAGGTGTCTAAAAAAATGGTAGTCAGTAGGCGAGAGGTCCGGAGAGTAGGGTGGGTGAGGCAAAGTTTCATAGCCAAGCTCCAATAATTTTTGTGACGTTACACGTGACACATGTGGTCGAGCGTTGTCATGCAACAAAATGGGCCCTTTCCGATTGACCAAAGAGGGCTTCATTACTGCCAATTTCTGATGCATGGTATTAATTTGGTTACAGTATGATTCAGCATTGATGGTTTCGCCAGGATTTAAGAAGCTGTAGTGTATTAAACCAAATGAAGCCCACCATACCGTAACCATTACCTTTTTTTGATGAGTTGGGGGCTTTGGAAAATGTATTGGAGCTTCTCCTTTGTCGAGCCACTGTCCAGAATCCACTTTTCGTCACATGTAACAATTCTGGCCAGAAATGGGTCATTTTTGTTTCGACAAAGAAGTGATGCACAAACATCAAAGCGCTGATTTTTTTGGCGATCGTTTAATGAGTGTGGAACCCAATTTTCGAGTTTTTTCACTTTTCCAATCGCCTTGAGGTGGTCAGCGACGGTCGTTTTACTGACTTTGAGTTGCTCTGCAAGTTCTCGAACAGTTGTTTTGGGGTTTTCTTCCACCACTGATCGCAGAACATCATCATTAAGAGAGGAAGGCCTTCCACGACCTTCTTCATCTTCAAGGCTGAAATCTCCCTCCCGAAATTTTTTAAACCACCTTTGCACAGTGCACTCATTAACACAACCCTCGCCCCAGACTTGGTTAATGTTTCTAGCCGTTTGGGCTCCGCTTCGGCCGAGTTTAAACTCGTAAAAGAAAATCGTACGAAATTCTCGCTTTGACATTATAAGGATGACTGAATTATTTCCAAGTAGCGGAATGCTACAGAGGTAAACAAACAATATCATTTGGAAGAGGATTAATAAGTGTTGACATTCATACAAATGAGTAATCCTGTAAACGTAAACAGAATATTTTATATAGATTTTTTTTAATGAAAACTTAAAATCCTGCATTATTTTCCGGACAACCCAATAATAAACTAACAATATACAACACACTAATTAGACCGATTTGGACATATGTTGTTGAGCTGTGGGGTTCACCCAAGCCATCCAAAATCCAAGGAATTAAATCCTTTCAATCAAAAGTCCTCCATTGCACCCTTCTATGTCACTAACCAAACTATCCACAAAAACATGTACATCCTGTTCATGACGGACATGATCTAAATGTGATTCCACAACTTACACTCCAAACCACTAGCTCAAGCCCTCTCTTCAACATCCCATCCTATCAGTCCATTGCGTCGCTTAAAAAGACAGTGGCCTCATGACCTATCTCAACCCCTAAACCTTAACCAACAATAATAAATACTGAGCGTAATGGCAATGGCCATCTATCTCATCCGCATCCCCATGGTCTGACAGGTTCTCCCGCTAGATCTTTTATTACCAACCAATTGTTAAATGTATAATTTTTTGTACAGAACAGTACAATAAAATAAAAACTGTACAAAGCAGTACAATAAAACTTATTTTAAAAGATTTTTTTTATAAGTGTACCTGCCCATCATACTTGCAGTCATATGACAAAATGAGTGATTGATATGAGGATTCTTCTTTTATGGTAATTTATTCATTTTCATAAACTGCTCTTATTTGCTCCTAGAATCTTTGTGTCTGCCTTACTCCCAGCTATCAAAAATATTATTAAGAAAACTAATAACCAATGTGAATAAAGGTTTATAAAATAAATGGGAGATATTTAATATTTTTAATATTTAATAAATGTCAATATTTGTATGAAATAAATAAACTATCGTATTGTTTTTAAAAATATGAAATTAAAAATGTTATAGATTTGTTAATAACATTTCCCCTGGTTTTGGTAACACCACTGAGGTTGAACAGTATCAGCACTAATTTTTCTCTTGACCATTCTTTCCCTTTGGTGAAGGTAACGCGGTTCGGCTTTGTTCCAGCTCCCAGGCCCTGTCCACAACAATTCAGCCATTGCGCTGCTCCTTGGCCAAATTCTGAAATAACCAAAAATAAGAAGATTCTTAAAGCACGATTAATAATCTTGATTAACCTATTATCTATTGAGGAATCGTCTGCTTGCTCGGTCCAAAGCGTTGCCTCTGCTCCTAAAATCAACTTTCTTACACCTTCGTCAACTGAAACATTCAGACCTTTCAACAAAGTAACTGGATCATTTTCATATATTTTTTGCCAAGGAATGTACGGTGAGCACCAGTTGTTTCCGGATCCAATCCATGCTCCAAAGCTAAAAAATTTACCATATAAAATTGAGGAAATAAATCTTTCATGGGAGGTAAACCATTACAATAAAACTTTACGTTAGTTTAGGGCAGGCGAGAGTTAGTGTTGGATTAGGTTAGTTTAGGTAGGGTTAGCATTAGACACGAGCTGGATTACATTAGGTAGGGTTAGAGTTAGGGACGAGTTGGGTTACATATACATAATTCAATGTTTTTCTGTGAAGCTACAAAATTATGTATTTATACTGTTGGCCAAAATGATCTGAACTCACCCGCAGTCCAAATAAAGAGCATCATAATTGGATAATATTATAGGATATCCTTTTTCCACCAACTGCTTGATTGTGTGATCATTACCCTTGGTCCAAATTTGTATTATGTATTTTGAGTTGTTCAAATATTTTTCTACATTGTGTTCCGTAAGTGTACTCGTCCAAAGTACAACCTTTTTCTGATTTTTATTGACTTTTTCCAAAAGGCCCAAAGCACGGGTTTGAAAGTCAGACCACAATTTTAAAAAGTCATTTTCTGTCGTATTGAGACCCCTGTATATTTATATAAAAATTAAAATAACCCTTTTTTTTAATAGCTATAGATATAATTACATTTTTGTCATGTTTTCTACTATTACATCGCTTGACCTCCAGCAGTTGAAATTGACTTCATCTCCTCCCATGTGAAATAGGTCGGAATCAAAAACTTTGCCCATATCGTTGTAAATCCCTTCAAGAATTGTGTACATCTTTTCGGACGTCGGATTCAGTTGACCGCAAGGAGGTTCAACACAATATTGTGTCCAGGGTTCAGCCTTGAAACAGACAGTCACGTTTTCATCACTGGCAAACTGCCATCCTTCTCCTACATGAGCTGGTGCATCAAATTCTGGTATGACCCTTATCCCTCGCACTCTTGCATATTCCAAAATGTTCTTGATATCATCAACAGTGTACACCTAGTGCAACAAATATTATTATTAAAAAATAAATAGTATATATTTACTATCAGCTCAGAAAACAGACCTGCTCCTGTGAATATGCTCCATACTTAGAAAGTTCTGGATATGATGTTGATTGAAATGGAAAACTGTGAGAATCTGTGATATGCCAGTGAAACGTGTTCAATTTATTTAAGGCCATGCCTTCCAAAGTCCTTTTAATACTATCGACCGATAAAAAGTTCCTCGCTGTATCCAACATAATTCCTCTGTGCGTATACATCGGTTTGTCTAGGATTTTAACTTCTCCTGGAATAAGAAGTGCTCCTGTTAAATGATCAAAAACTATAACCTGATCTAATGTTTCCAATCCATGACGTGCTCCTAGAAAATTATCCGCTTCTATTGTTATGTTTATCTGAAATCAGAACATTTTTTTTTAAATCCAATCATAAAAGAGCTTGAACAAACTGACTTACCGCTCCGTCAAATGTGAGGTTGACATACAAAGCATAACTTTCATTAGAATTCTGTGTGAACTTGAAAACAGTTGGATCTTTTAAAGAAAATGTGATTTCAGTGTTTTTCCCCGGCACTTGGACATTTTTAGATTTCTGTCTGAGCCGTTCATTGAACAGCTTACCTGCTTTCTCAACCAACTCACCACTTTCTTTTGTTTTATCTAAAAATTATACAGGACGGTAAAAAAATTTATAGTTCACATACATCATTTTTGTTAGATACTATATAAACACGACCGTTACTTGGTGGCACTATTGAAATAATAATATAAACCATATATTTAAATTTTTTATACAGTTAGGGTTAGAGTTTTGGAGGGGTTGGTTAGGTTAGGTAAGGTTAGGATTAGGGACTGGTTAGGTTAGTGTAGGGGTTGTGTTATGTTGTGGGCTAGGTAGGGTTAGAGTTAGGGAAGTGTTGGGTTAGGATATTACATGTGAAAAACAAAAAGAACTAAAGACGTCATATTTGGGTTGTTATTATAGCAAATATTTTGTACAAGGAAAAGAGGAAGAGAATATGTATCCATGGAAGATTATTGACCAAGTCAATTACACTTACCACCTTTGCCATCAACAAAATGGGTTTTTAGGTACACGCTGTTTGGATTTATTGGATAGAGTTTAGACGATAGGTCAACAAGACCAGTGGGCTTTGGCCAGAGGGTGCCAGGAGGGCATAACAATTTGCAGACATTTACGGACAATGGCCTTCTGTATATGGTATCACTGGTGCATATGCTGCCATCAAATGGGTTTTTCGTTTTCTCGTTTCTTTTCTTGACACATCCAGTTTTTTCGCATTCCCATGTCCACACCCTAAATGTTTAAAATCAATGTAACAAAAATTTATCAAATAATTTTTTTTAATCCCTTACTCTGATTCTAAAGACGCTAACTTATCTTTAGTTAAATTAAGGCCTTCGACTGTGATATCTGTCGTTCCACTCAACACATGAGCTACAGCTAGCAAAAACACAAAAGTACAAAGCCCCACAGGTGACATAATCTGAAAAAAATGGGGTTAAACTTTAACCAGAAGTACTACTACTTGCATTATATAAACACATTGCATAAAAACATGAATGGTCATAACATTTCCGGTGCTTAACTTTTGCTAATACTTGAAGAAAACAAAAAACCTGTTCACTGGGAATAGTAGAGATTGCATCATAATTGCTTCTAATCGCATTTTTTCATCATGAATTATTAAAATAAACTAGTTTCAGTTGATGGCCATTTCTCATGTCCTGATTCAACGCTTAAAACGATTACAGCATGATTCAAGGTTCATGTTAATCGGCACCGAGTCAATGAGGAACAACACTTCTTATCGTAAATCTAAATACAAATACACCTTAACATATTATATGTGAATGTGTTTTTAAAAATTGTATTTCAACGGATTTATCACAAAATGTAATGGAATTTCTGATAACGTGTTCTTAAGTCGTGAACGAATGGAATATGAAGGTCAGTATAAATGGTTTTATTTGAAAAGTAGACGGGGTTAAGTATTTTTCTTAGGATTTAGCATTAGAGAGACTGGATACGGGATGAATTGGAATGTTTGGTTGAACTTCGAACTTTCACTCCGCAGGTCCATATCGGACGAATGAGAGTAAGTGGTCAGTTTGTTATTAATGTTTATGTGAGATTGTTGGTCGAATAGTCCTCAGTATGTTTGTAGTTGCGGTTCATGTCTTGTCAGACGAGTGTGAGGATTCCACGTCAGTCTCTCACTGTACAGTCCCAGCTATAGTACTATGTCAGCAATCGGTATCAGTACGTCATTCAGAAGTAATTGAGGACACAGTGACTTTCTTAGTGCGAAAGTGAGCAAATTGCTTTAGTTAATTTTGATTCTCCATTTTCGGAACCAGTTTTCTAATAAGGTTAGGTGACTTTGCAGATAGCAGCTATGGGTTGGAGTGAGAAGAGAAACAAACGTGGATATGACTGTGTTTGGAAAAGTAGGAATCTCAGTGTATATATTATAAACAGGGTCGGGCGTAGGATACTTCCTTGGGGGACTCCAGGTTTTACAGGAATAATATACGAAATCTGTTTCGTAAGACACAAACGTACGAAAATTTATCCCTGGGCAACTGATAATTCTCACTTGGAAAATAACAGAATGCAAAGTGAGGTGGACTTGTGTGGCTGTCAACATAAGCAGTGTATTGCTTGATACTGGGTCAAAAATATTAGACATCGAGCGTTCTTGTCAATGGGCAGAGTTAACTTAGCTCGGAATATAATTATTTAATCTAAGAAGGTTTCAGAGCTGTCGACACAGCAAAGGCTTTTTATATAAACTTGATACACTTCTTACTCACACTTTATATTTTTATTCTGAAATCCGACCTAACCGACCGCTGCTTCAGAGTGTGCGGCTACGAGTTCTTGAAAGTAGACAGATACAAGCCGTCGTCCCACAAGGGAGCATTCTTGGTCCCATCCTTCACATAATTTATACTAATGATCTACCTGCACACCCCTATATCATCAACACCTACACGGATGATACCGCAATTTTGACCTCTGACTCGAATCCTATCCAAGCTTCGTCCAACATCCAAGAACACTTTGAGCTTATCGATTGCTGTAAAAGTGGAGGACAAGAATGAAGAAAAATGTACTCAGTGTACGTTCATATTGAAAAAACAGTCTTGGCCTACACTGTACATCAACAACAAAGGGATACGATAAATGATTTCAAAAATTTAGGGAAGTACCATGAATCTTCCAGTTTGTAAATTAAGTCTGTGAGACACACAATCAAACGCTCTGGAGAAATCAAGGTAGATGATATCAGTTGGAATGTTTGAGCCCATGTTTTTGCCGGGATGTTGATATTTTGTGCCGTACTGGTTAAAACAGAACGTTTCGAGACAAAACCGTGCTGAGTGGGAAGAATAATGTTATTTAATTTGTCGTATGTAAATATTTGAAAAGATTGATAAATAGAGATAGGTCGATGGGTATTGGAGCTTTTTTTGAATGTAGGAGTAACTATAGCAGTTGTTTCTGTTATCCCAAAAATAGGTTTAGGGCGTATATATTGTCTTGCTGATCCTCCTCTGGCCAGTCTGTCTGCCTTTTCGTTGCCGAAAACTCCTTTGTGTCCTGGTACCCAAGATTTCATCTGATTGTTAAGTTTCTCCTGGTTCATTTTGATGTGATTTTTTGCATGCCAATGTTTCAATAGCCAGTTGATTAGTATCTTGATCAATTGATGGAAAACACGTTTCTTTGTGTTTGAAATTATAATTGACGTAATTTATGGCCAAAATATTGTTTTCTTAATTAGAACGAGCTTTAGTTTTTGACTTTTTTTTAGGGCAATGAAGAATTATCTAAAAGTTATAATCATTTGTTGTATTGGTACGTTTGTATGTTTCCCAATATTTATGTTTTTTGTTTTACATGGTGTTTTATTTTAGGGTAATCCAAGGCTTGAAACATCAGAAAAACGGGGAATAACTGTTGAGATTCGGACCATAGTATATTAGGACTTTTTGGTTTCATTTTGAATGTAGAATCTACTGGCAAAGTTTGAAACACGAATAGCCCTGTGGTGTTCACCCTGTATAGGAACATTGAAATGCATGCACAACAGTCCGAACTTTTTTGCCAATGGGGACATAGGATCATAACTACATAAGTTAACTAACTGTTGGAAGAATTAAATTTACGGCCGTGCGACTTAGCAAAGCAGGTTCAAATATTTTATTTATGGAGAAACTAAGTTGATATTCGTTTTTCGCAACCCCAGAAACTCCTGAATACAATATATTAAGAAATAATACTCTTGAAATACGTGCACAAAATATTTTTTCAGGGCTCCAAGGGCCAATTGGCAAGAACGCTCGGACACTTCAAATAATTTTTGACCTAGTCACCTATAAAGTTTCAATAAAATCTGTGATCCAACGTATGTACTCTCGCTTCCTCCAGTGAACTTCTTATGAATATGAATTTTATTGACTTGTAATTACTAAGAAGCAAGATTTGTTTTTTCCGATAGTTCAGACTATTTTCTTATCTTAATTATCCTATTAGCTCTAATGCTATTATTGATAATAAAAAATGCAATACTCGTTTATGGAACTTTTATCAATGACATTTAAGAGCTGATATTTAATTTCTTTTTAAAATGATAAATATTAGATTATAACTATGGAATTGTTTACAAAAAGTTTGTTTTTCTATAAAGATTGCACCAGAGGATCGTTTAATTGTTCTACCGAAGAGATGAACAGATAAGATTTCAACCTTGCATGGTCGCCCATGCAAAGAATTGAAAGCGATTTGGATGCTAATCTAGATTATTTAAACAAAGCTATCGAAAATTTTGAATCTTAGAGTCATTTCAACATTGCCGACAACTTTAAAATTGTAAATGCATCGTCGCCCGAATTATTCTCGGTTTTCTTTAATGATGAGGTTGTACGAGGGGGTCAAAACAGAAAAACAATCTGTGCCAGTGAAAATTTACCCTTTCTACAAAAAATGGGATTGGATCAAATACAGGGCTTTTTTATTTTTAGAAAAAGATAAAAAATAAAATTTTGCAAAGATTGCATTTAAATTCCATTGACAAAAGAGTTGTACTATTGATTTAATATTGGCAATTTTCCTTACTTTTAAAAAACTAAGAAATGATCTCCATAACTTATTTATTTCGTATGTTAAAAAAAACCGGGATATTTATTTAATTGCCCGATGACCAGCATGAGAAACGTCCATGGGTAAAAATCACAAAAAATTGTGAAAATTTAAAAAAAAATTAAATACGACACTTACTTGTTTAACAATTGGTCGTGGCGTACTTCGCCACTGCTTTGTCGGTACTGACGGACAAAGGGGAAACTTGCGACTGACTGGAAGTCTGGAACCCACCTTCTCCTACTCCTTCCTCAAGAGGTCGTAGAACTCTTTGGACCCGAACACGAATTATGTCAACCGATTTGGCAAGTCTGATCTGTTAAAAAAAGGGGAAAATGTACGGTCAATTCTCTCGGGCCTTGGCCAGTCACAATTTGTACTTCTTTCAGCAGCAGATGGACGTGACCTACGGCGTAATTTGTCTTAAGAAGGGTGGTGTCATCGACAGCGAAATTATAAAAGCTCTTTAACGGCGACACTACCTCTATCTTAAAGGCCGAATTGGACTTAGTTCTAGAAACCTCTTGGCCAAATTTCACGACATAGTTGATAATTTTAGTTGAATTTTGAAAATTTTTATTTAAATAAACGTGGTTTCAATTTTTAAAAAATATATTAAGTATTCAATTTAAAAAAAATGAATAAAAAACATAACATCAACACTGTAGAAAGGGATCCCAGAAGAGATCTTTGTATCAAAAGCAGGCCAAGAGGTCCTCATATGGTACACTGATGGATCAAAGATGTACTGGAGTAGGTGAAGGATTTTTTTTTTTTTTTTTTTTTTTTTTTTTTTTTTTTTTTTTTTTTTTTTTTTTTTTTTTTTTTTTAAAGGCAGCAACCACAATCAGGGTTATATTTGCCTTGAATCTGTCCTGAGTACACAGGGGGCATATGGGAAGCATTCTCTTGCATTGGGGCTTGCATTGTCGCCCAGAAGTCCCCACACACACACACACACACACACACACACACACCCGCCACCACCGCCACCGGCACCACACCCGAGCGCCCGCCACCAGCCACAGGTCCCATCTCTTTATTTCACCTCACAAATCAGATTTTAACAAACAATTCTGTTTCCCTTAAAAATTTAAATAATCTTGATACTGTTGTTTCTCTGTCATTTAGCAATTCGGGTAGAGAGGCGGGCAACTCACTGCTCATGCGTGCCCTTCTGTACATCTTACATTCTAACAGTATGTGCTTGACTGTGGTTAAAACTCCACATGTCACGCACATAGGTGGAGGTTCGCAAGCCATTAAATACCCGTGTGTTATTCGTGTATGCCCTATCCTGAGTCTCGCAAGTACACATTCTTCTTTTCTAGACAGTCCAGCTGAGGTGGTCCATAGTCTTATATCTGCTTTAACAGCTCTAAGTTTGTTTTCCCTAGTATTGAACCATTCTAGTTGCCATTTTTCTTTGGTTTTGGCTTTCACATGTGTAACGAAGTCTTCTTGCGGCACCTCACTTATTTTATGACCTTCTCTCTGGGCACTTCTTGCCGCTTTGTCTGCCTCAACATTTCCGGTTATCCCGCAGTGTCCTGGTATCCACATGACAGTGACTTGTAAATTTTTGCGGTAAAAGTCCTTTATGGCAGAGTGAATTTCATGTACGAGGGGGTTCAGGCTGAAAATATCTTTTAAGGCATATACTGCTGAAAGGGAATCAGTACAAAGGATCAGATGATTTCTTGTCAAAGCTATTATGTTTAGACATTTGTTGATCGCTAGGAGTTCTGCACTATAGTTGCTACATAGTGGTGGGAGTGCGAAAGAATGTCTCCTACCGCCTGACACGAATGCGGCACCAACCCCTTCTGTGCTCTTGGATCCGTCCGTGTAAGCGAATGTAGCATTTTTGAAATCGTTTTTGATTTTGAGGAACTCTTGCTTATAAGTGTAAGGATGGGTGTTCGCCTTTAGGGATTTCGAGAGCTTGAGGTAAAAGTTTGGGTTCTGTAACGTCCAAGGAGGGAGTGGCGAGACGCATGTGTGTTGTATTTTTGGGACCTGTATGTCCAAAGATTGCAGAGCTAGTGATACTCGCACAAAATAGTGTTTTCGCTTCTGAGTATGTAGAACTTCATTTGACAATATATTATCCAAGGGAAGTAGATCCCTGAGTGGGTGCGATTTGTCAGATATGATTTTCGCAAAGAACTTTAGATCCAGGAATGTGCGCCGATGTTTGAGAGGAGGTTCTCCTGCTTCTACGCTTAAGCTATCACCTGGACTGGATCGAAAGGCACCGGTAGCTATGCGAATACAAGTATTCTGTATGCTATTTAAGGAAATTATTTTGTTGTCTGTAGCGGAGCCGTATGCATTGCTGCCATAGTCAATTTTGGATCTAATTAAGCTTCTATACAGCCTCAAAAGGCTGGTCCTGTCGGAGCCCCATTGTGTGGAGCTTATCATTCTAAGCAGGTTAAGGGACTGCAGGCATTTAGTTTTCATTGATTTTAGATGAGCTGACCAATTAAGTGTTCGGTCGAAGATGACCCCCAGGTAACTCACGGAATCTGCGAATCAAACTAGAGTACCAGCTAATTTTAGCGTTAATGGGGCACCTGGCCGTCCCCTGGCAAACAAGATAGCAGTGGTTTTAGAAGGAGATATCTTAAATCCAGTTTGGTTTAACCAACCAGGTGAAGGATTAATGTGTCTGAATCAATCCGTAGTAAACCCTTTGGACCATTTCAAACTATCTGCCAACTTGAGGTACATGTGATAGAACTCTGTGCACAGATCTCTACTTTCAGACAGTCAGGCATCTAAAAAGCATTAATGTTTATGCTTGGGAGTACCTAAATTACCTAATGGCCCTAGGAGATTAGATTATATAGAAGCCGGCCTCTTTACCATCTGCTCACCGTGATAGATATTGTGCATCTCAATTTTTTTTTATCTAGAGCTCCTCATTAACCTTGAGGCTTTTTACCAGACACCATAGTTTTTCAAGGGCTCCTGTGCATAACCTTCAGGCCCCGGCTTTTCCTCTCCCAGGATTAGGAATCTCAGCTTACATAGGCCTTCGCACCAACAGAGGACATGTTCCACCGTTTTGTCTTCTTCTTGGCAATATCTACACATGCTTGTGGCTGCTATGCCTCCAGAGTCTGCAGTGTCCAGTCATCAGCAGTCTAACTATTTTCTAGTCCTAGCTGTAGGAGAATGTTACCTTGAGGTGAGTTCAGGGACATAAAGATATGAAAGGAAACGGATTGCCTAACTGACTGAATAACAGAAAGCTTTCTCACCATGGGACCATAACCACAAATAAGCTCGCCAGAATATGTCCTAAAGATGGAACTTGAAAAGTGGCTTAAGAAAGAAAAACTAAAGTACTGGATAAAAGCCCCAGGTATGTGGCAAGCTAATTGATTTATAAATCTCTCAAAACGGAAGGTGAAAACTCCATTCTCTCAACAAGATTTGAGCTAAATTATAAATCTCTATAACCAGTGACTGCCTTTTTAATAACTATCCAAGCAGATGAGCAAAGAGAGAAACATGCTGTCTTGGTCAGGAGAAATCAGACATCGGGGCATATACTTTGTGAATGTGAGGCTCTAGCTCATTAGTATAGATTATAGCTACTTTGGAAGACAATTCTTACACCGAGAAAAGAGGCATAGTTTGGTCTTAAGCATAGATTTCACAATAGCCCTATATAACTAACTAGATCGCAGTGAATGGAGTAAAGGTTTTTAAACGGATACCAGTTAATGCAATTATCTCTGATATACAGACGGCTTCACAGCCAAATATGAGTTTGATATTTATAGAAATAAACCAAAGCATAAAATTCATATAAGCTTTCAATACATCAATATATGTCAGGCAGACTGGCTATTTTTTTTTTAAATTTCCATCCCACCAGCAAGCCCTGGTAGGAGGGAGTTTGTTTTCTGTATGTTCCTTACATTTGTGTGGTATTTAGTGACCATTAATTAATGATTGTTTGGAGATCGTGAGATGCGGTCTGGGGTGACGTAGGTTTAGAAAAACATTATCTTTATTGTGGATTGGTTGATCCTAAAATGTTTTTCTAAATCTACGTCACACCAGACCACAACTCATGATCTCCAAACAATCAGTTCCTTACATTATTAATACATGCATTTAATGATCTGTTTTGTGTGTACATACTAACATTGTACCTTTTTAAATTTATTTTAATGGCATAATGTAATTAATATTAAATGAATTTATATCTTTCGAAGAGAAACCTTTCCTTCTTGCTGCCCATTCCTCTTCATATATGGGTATGATTTTTCTCTTTGACCATTCCCTCTATATAACTTTTGGAATTTTGGAGAATATTGTTTCCATTTTGTTGTGGCAGCCTTATTTGTTTTTTATTTCCTTCATTGCCTGCATGTGCTTTTATCCACATAAATTCTTGAGGAATGGTTTTTATTTTATAACCTGTCTTGCTTAGTTTCCAGTTTCTTTGCAGCATTGAAATAGATGTTTGACTAACCGTATTTATGACCACTTGCTTCTACTTGGCTACCTCATCCTTTATTTGAATCCATTCTAAAACTTTTTGTATTGCCAATAATTCTGCCTGGTTGTTGGAACACCAGTCAGCTAGTCTATTCTGCACAATATGGATGAGTGTTCTGTGTATATCTGGAAAGTCTACTGGTTCATTCCTTTTTAATCGGAGTTATATTTATATTGTGTGTACATCTGTGTGGCATAGGACATGGACTGGTAAAAATGAGTTAATGAAGGGGCTGTATTCTTTTTGGGTAGAATTTTCTCTTGTATTTTCAGATGTATAGGTCTCTCTCTTGCGAGGACACATTAAATGATAATTATTTGGAGATGGTGTGTACCAGACCGCATCTCACGATCTCCAAATAATCATTAATTGTCACTATATACAACACATTAAATGATAATGTGCAGTATCCTTTGATCATTCTCAGCAAGCTTCTTCTTCATATACTTCTCATTCTTTTAGGTTAAATTTTTTGTCCAGTGTTCTACCCCAAATTGATGTATAAATTAGCAAATGTAAAATGGCACCCTTGTAAATTGTTGTTTAAAGCCTTGCACGCCTCCCCAGTAAATCATGGCAGAGCAAAAAGACTGGCTATTGAATACTGTGTAATTGGACAACCTGGTGGAACTAAAAGCTACTACCTCATCAGTAGTGAATTTCAGTGCTGTTTGGGAGTTCATTAGGTCCTTTATATGGTTTATATTTGCTTTTAACACCCGAAATACGAGTTTTTGGGAAAATTAAAAAAATTCCTAAATTTTTGTCTTCCAAATACATGAGATTTTTTCGAAATGGTCATAGCTTTAAAACTGCTCGATTTATCTGGGGAAACTTTACGGGGGTTTAGAATCTTGTAAACTACACGTAATAGACTGAACATGTCTCTATAAATTAATTAGAACCATAGAAATAAAATACAATATTTGAGTAGTTTTTGTTGATTTCATCCTTATTTTTCTCACTTATAATGATATAAAATCTAAACCCTATTTTTACAGACTGAAAGAAGATAGATTCAACTTTACAAATTTATTGGTTACAAAATTATTTGCGTTAAGGTCCTGCCAGACTTTGGGTAAGACAAAAAAATCTCCCTGGTCTGGGCACCTTCTCCTGGAATGCACATGAAATAAAATTTCAGTCATTAGAGACAGCAAAATGTTTGGGTAAAAGGGCACTGAATAAATCAGTTCAGTCAAGTTCAGTCGGGACACACATTGAACCCTTTTGTGGTATACCAAATTGCCAAAAACATAGATCCAACTATGGATTTCATTGTTTAACTTTATTGCATACCTCTATCTTGCACATTGAACTAAGGACTTAAGAAATTAATGGGAGAACTAATAAATCTAGTTAAAGTTAGAACTAGAATGATAGTTCTATACAGGACATTGCAGACACTGGAGGCATATAGACTCAGAGCGCCTATGCAGATGTGCTCCTTAAGCGTACCAACAAAAGAGTAGCCATCTATTAAAACAACCAGGCAGTTCTAAGCCTGTACACTACTTTACCTCAACAGTAGTAAAGTCCAGAGTCATTTGGGATTATATTAAGGCCTTGACAGACATTGGGGAAAACAACAAAATCATTGTTGCTTGTGTACCAGGGCATACCTGGCAGAGGATGATTAGAATCAAGGAAAATTTGATGAGGACACCTATCATCACCTTTTGCGACATTCCAAATTGCCAAAAACACAGATCCATCAGACAATGCGTTGAGAATAAGTCCTTGATTCAATTGGAATGATTATCAGGAGAGAGGCTTGTGAAAAGAAAAATTAAAAGACCATCGCAGAAACTAACAGCAAAACTACTAAATATAGGATGAGTTAAGACTTTAATAGGACTGCTAACTGGACACTGCAGACTCCATAGGCATATACATATATATTTATACATGTATGTAGACTTGAAGTGGCAGAAACAAGCCTGTGCCGATATTGCCAGGAAAAAGAAGAAACTGCGAAGTCTTCTATTTGAACGCCTATTCAGTGTTTCCTACTAATGGGAAAGGAGAGCCAAGTCCCGCAGGAAAATAAAGCCCTTAACAAGGCTTTGAGATTTTGTAAAAAGCTTAACGAAGACCTTTAGACAATGAGGTTGGTTGCACAATAGACCAATATTAGCCGTTATGCCCTAGGTCACTGAGGACAAATTCTAGTAACATAACTTTAAAATAAACTATAAAAAAAAGAAACATAAGGATAGATATAGAATGAGACAGCAGTTTCATATAACACATCCTTTCATATTAAAAAAACAACAAAGAAAAACAACTTTATTTACAGTCAAAAACAGTTTAGATGTTTGGATAAAAGCATCACTATAAAGCATTAATGTAATGCTATAATATAAATATGTACATAATTCTTACATCATAAACTTGTAGCTTGATCTATTTATAATTTTTTTGGGGTAAAATGATAATTATGACTCAATATAAAGAACAGAATTGCTTATATCAATGGTTAAGTTCATGGACTTAAACGTATTAATTCCAGGGTGAACAGACATGTGATAAATGTGTGATCTATCACATCAATTATAACTTTTTTTGCTAAAAGAAAAGAGAAAATAAATAGCAGTAAGTGATTAAAAGCATTTTTACAGTCATATTTCAATTTTTCTTCAGTTCTTTTTTTAACTTAACAAATTTAATAATAGTTTGCCAACTCTGCTACTAATTCATCATTCCTCCTAGCATAGATAATACAAGGATCAGTTAAATGTACAGAGTTCGGTTTTTGTTTTACACACCAATGTGACTGTTCGCTTGACTCGCTTGATGATGATGATTCTCTGCTCTCAGAATTAGATGATATTTCTGCATTGTTGTCTGACTTTATTCTGACAAGACAAATCGGCGAGACAGTCCTTTCTCTGTAATCTGTTTT